GAATTATATTTACAGAATTATATTTACAGAATGAAAAAAAACCTGTTGCTTAATCAGATCACTGGTAGTTTTTTCCCCAGAGCAGCATTCATAAATTTAAATGTTGCAACATASTGTATGTCTGGTTGACTGTCAGAAACTAAGGGGGTTTGTGTGAAAGAGTCAAAAGGTGATAGAAAATCAGACCTCGGCGTTCAAATGCTCCAACAAACTCTGCATTGCAGCATTATAAAAAAAGTAAAAGTAAATAAAAGCATATATGAACAACAACTTCCTGCTCAGATGAGTCCAGTTCTCATTAGGACTATTAGTCCAGCTTTGTGCAACAAAGAGGTGATAACAGCGACACTTTGATTCTTCTAAATGACCCGTAAATATTATTTTACCTGCGCTGAACTGGGAGGACGCAGCCATTCACGGTGCACAATGGGAACAGCAGACCGTGCGTAAACTGCATCTTCATTTGCATTTCTGATCAGAAAAAAAAAGAAAAGGGGGAAAAAAATCATACAAATCTTAATGAGACAGTTACTATTGTGGCTATAATGGAAAAGCTTTTCTTTGTTAATTACTGTTCCTCAAAGGAACCGGTCACTGAGCTGAAACAAGGACAGGTGCTGCCGGAAGTCCACAAAATATTACAATAATGTGATATTAGAGTTTAGACTCAGATTCGAATATGTTTTTTTAAATTGGAAAATTCATCCATATAACGAGGAACAATAAATTAGCAGTCAGAATCAGATAACTGGAGCTGAATAAAGATGAAGAGATTAATAAATCTGTTTTTTTAAAGTTTGTTCTAATAATTTGATTTTATTTGATCTTTTAGGCCTGCTTATGCACAACATAAATTTATTTGTATTTTTTAAAATCAAAATACACAAAAAACAAAAAAATAAAATAAAATGCATCAAATTCAAACAAACTGGATCAGCTTTAGAGAAAATGTTACAAAATGCAGCTTATTTCTCCTAACAGAGTGCTGATGGACTGAGAGCAAATGTTGATTTTTACTCCTCGTTTTGCTTTGTAATAAATATGTTTGACATATTTTTATTTAGGGGCTGTGTTTCTGGTTCGCTCCCATCAAGATGTGCCCATATTTTCCCAACATTCCTCAGTGGGACCCGCAGCCCCCTCAGGGCTCGTTGAGTCTGTGCTGGTGGTCCTCAGATCCTTAATTAGGAAATTAGCTGCACAGAGGCCCTCATTATCAAACTCCAGGTTACTGCATGCTGATTTTTTTATCCCTCTCTCTCCCTCTCCCTCTCTCTCTCTTTCCCTTTTTTTTTTTTTTTTTGCCACTCCTCTCTGCTACCGGTCAATTTCCATAAGCAGATTACAAGCGGATCAGTATTGAGATTTGGGCAGATAAACAAATAACGGGTCCCTGAGAATTAGATGGCTGCTAATTGGAGGTTAGTTTTATTGCTCCTGCGCTTTGTGTCACGCCCCATTGAAGGGGAAAATTAAATCCATGCAGTGATGTCTCTGTTTTGGCTCGGGGCGAATATAGTCTTTGAAATACTTTATTTTTAAATTCCCGTTAGGTCATTTGTGTTTAGGTCTAATTAAAAAAAGAGTAAATATTGTCACAATTCTATCACAATTTTTTTCAGACCTAAAATGTGCTGATCGTTCTGATATTTTCGTTAGTTCACAGGTTTGGATTTGAAAACTGCTTTTTCTTTTTTAAAACGACAATTTTGTGCATTTTTTTTGTTCGAAACAAAAGAAGCACGAAGTCACCATTCATCAGATAAACTTCTCTTCCATTTAAACTTTTATTATTACAGAACAAAACCTTTGTTTTGAACATAACAGCAAGCTGTTCCTTAAATAAACTATAAACCTGGACCCTCTGCGCGCTCCGTGCAGACTCCGCGCACCTCYGAGGCCCTTTCACCCCCCACCAGCCCAACACACAAACACACACAGTAGCTGCATTTTTATCTTGTAAGCTCCAGGAGGTAAAGCAGACATACTGACCAGACCAGACCAGACCAGACCAGACTGATCCCTCACGGGTTCCTGCTAAAAAAGGCGCTAAATGTTGGCTTTCGGTGCTCCATTAGAAGGTGTGAGCTGCGCCCATGTCCTGGTCCAGGTTTCGGTGCGGGGTGGGTGGGGTTGGGTGGTGGGGGCACGTTTGTAAAAGGAGACACATGCAAACGGAAGGAGCCACTCCAAAGTGCTGATCGTTTCTTGATAACCAGCTCGGAGGGAGACTTCAGCTGAAGTTTTGCTGTGTGGCCGAAGAGATGGCCCCGCTCCTCCACAAGAGGTCGTTCATGTATTTAAGTTTCACCTCWCAGGGTCCCTGAACGCACCACGTCCGATCCGTATCATTCATCCTGAACCGGATTTAAAACTGCACTCCCTTCACAAGTGATCATAGAAGTTTTTTAAGTTTGAAACTTAACCGATTCTCCATTCATCTAAACCTTTTTTCCTTAAAGATGCATGATTTCAGCCAAACAATCATGATCTTTAGTTAAGAAAAGGATTTAACTCCTGCAGTTTCAGGTATAAGGGAAAGTTTTCAAAAATGTTCAAAGAGCGTTCAAATGCATTATTTTATTTTAAAAAAATCCTAAACGTTTTGTACTAAATTAGATTAAAAAGTGGAACAGTTTAAACTAAATATTTTTATTTGTTAAAATCTGCTTAGAGTTCTGACAAGATAAATGTAACCCAACAAAAACAAACATTAGAGGTTTTCTTCTGATTTGATCTTGAGTTTGTTCTTCATTTAATCCAGGTTTAGTCAAGATGATGCAATCTTAATACTGAAAGAATTCAAATGAAACAAATAAATTTTGTGTTTTTAGGTTTAAAGTACACTCAAATCATCGTGTTTTCCTCGTCATGTTCATCTTCAGATGTTAAATGTTGTAAAATGTCCTCTCGGGTTGTTAAAAGTGCGCTTTTAGAACTTCTTCCTCTCTGACCAGACGCACGGAGCGCAGCGCGCTCTCCGGTTGGACGTGCGCAGCTGCTCGCTGATTGGTCGCCTCCTCCTCCCTGTCACTCCGCATCACATGATCCGGCCTCTGGGCCTATTAACACATGAGCTTGGAGAACAAGTTTCAGACTTGTGTTGAGAGTGGAGAGGAGAGGAGCTGCCTGTCAGCGGACTGAAACCACCTGCAGACCCGTTCAGCCGCTTTACGCACAACTTTTTTTTTTTCTCTCTTCTTGTTCTTCACATGAGACCGGTCAGTAGGAGATCTCTCTGACTCTTGGCTGTTTTATCAACTTTTTTATTTTTTTTTGTTTTATGTGCGTGTGAGTGATTTTTTAAAAAGAATGTATAACATGATGGAAACCGAGCTGAAGACCCCGCTCCCGCAGTCCAACTCGGGCTCGGCGCCGGGCGCGAAGAACAACAGTGCCAGCGACCAGGAGCGGGTGAAGCGGCCGATGAACGCCTTCATGGTCTGGTCCCGGGGCCAGCGGAGGAAGATGGCCCAAGAAAACCCCAAAATGCACAACTCTGAAATCAGCAAGCGGCTCGGCGCCGACTGGAAACTTCTGACGGACGCGGAGAAGAGGCCGTTCATCGACGAGGCCAAGCGGCTGCGCGCGATGCACATGAAGGAGCACCCGGATTATAAATACCGGCCCCGCAGGAAGACCAAGACCCTGCTCAAGAAAGACAAGTATTCTTTGCCCGGGGGTCTGTTGGCGCCAGGATCCAACGCCGTCAACAACTCGGTGTCGGTGGGGCAGCGCATGGACGGTTACGCGCACATGAACGGCTGGACGAACAGCGCGTACTCGCTCATGCAGGACCAGCTGGCCTACCCTCAGCACCACGGCATGAACAGCCCTCAGATCCAGCAGATGCCCCGGTACGAGATGGCGGGCCTGCAGTACCCGATGATGTCCTCGGCGCAGACCTACATGAACGCGGCGTCCACCTACAGCATGTCCCCGGCGTACACGCAGCAGACCACCAGCGCCATGGGCCTGAGCTCCATGGTGTCCGTGTGCAAGACGGAGCCGAGCTCCCCGCCGCCGGCCATCACGTCCCACTCTCAGAGGGCGTGCTTGGGGGACCTGAGGGATATGATCAGCATGTACCTGCCCCCCGGCGGGGACAGCGCGGAGCACTCGTCCCTGCAGAGCAGCCGGTTACACAGCGTCCATCCGCACTATCAGAGCGCAGGGACTGGCGTCAACGGGACGCTACCTCTCACCCACATCTGAGAGCAACAGCAACAAAAGACTTTACAAAAGGAGAGAAAAATAAAACGGATACTTGAACTTCACATGGTTGCAACAAAAACGTTCAAAGATTTTTGCTTAAAAAAAAAAAAAACCCACAATGATGAAAAATCTTGGAGCAAAACTGAACGTTTAGCCCAGCAGAGAAACCTGCAGAAAGTAGAAGCAATCAGCTCATGTAGAAGAAGTGGACTTCTATCTTAAAAAAATAAAAAATGCCATATTTTCTTTCTTTGAAAAGGCATGTGGCCCCATGAAGGGGCTGGTGTATTTCAGAAAAGCTGGATGGACGATTGTTCATAAATGTTTACACTTTATTTGTAGAATGTCAGTCGTTCTCCACWGTGTCCAAAATATTTTTTTGTAGACTTTTTATCTTATTGTTTATTTTTTTTTTTACCAACATGCATTTGGGTAAATGAAATGGAAGACTGTGCCGGTCGCAAAACACAAGTTTTTTTTTTTTAATTTATAGTACGATTTTCTTTCTTTAGTTCAATGTTTTGTCACGTGGAAAATATTCAAAATGATTTTTTTTTCTTTTTGTAAAAGGTTTTGCTCTATGATGGCTTTTTTTTTGTCAGTGACATGTTTGCTCATTATCCTGAACAAAAAAAGTTTATTTAAACTTATGTTACATATTTTAAGACCATCCTCTTTAATGCTGAATAAATTTTTACGAATCGTATCTTCTGTGACTCTATTTTGTGTGCAAAGATGAGCTTTAAAATATTAAATATTGTTGTTTTTATTTTCCAGGGATCATCAAATTTCAGTCTAAAGACACATTTACAGGATTTACATGAATGAATTTGGTTGTTTTAATTATGTGGTAAAAGACAATTTATATTCTTTGTGGTGTGTTCTCACAAAATATGAGAAAATATTAAACAATATTTTTGAATAAATTTTTTAAACTTGTGTTTTAATAGTGAAATGAAGTTCAAATTTCAACTTTTTTAAATAAAAAATTAACAT